GTTGGCCCCCCTTAATGCGTCATTGCCATTGCTAATGCATCATTGGTCACCCTTAATGCATCATCTGTCACCCTTAATGCTTCATTGGCCCCCCTTAATGCATCATTGGCACTGCTAATGTGTCTTTGGCTACCCTTAATGCATCATTGTCAACCCTTAATGCGTCATTGGTCCCCCTTAATGTGTCATTTGCCACCCTTAAAAGTATAGTGGAGGATGTTTTTGTTCACTTACTGGTGGTGAGTCTGACATAATGGAAAAATTGCAAATCTTCTTTTGGAAAGTAAGATGGTATGAGAGATGTGCAAATGGGGAAATGGGCTCGTGCATGCTCTCGCACGTGTTTAATAGGCTTTCCCTCCCAGCAGCGGGTACAGGGTTGTGCATGTGTAATTTTTTTTTAAGTGCAGAGTTTTTTTGAAAATTGGCAAAAATCCTTCACCATGCCTTTAAAGCATCATTGGCCACCCTAAATCCGTCATTTGCCACCCCTACCAGGTGACCTAAAACCTCTAAAATAGAAGGTGGCAACAAAATTACCCTTAAGTGGAATATTCTAACCAGTTTTACATTCTTATTGTTCGTGTATTAACAATAAACTGAAAACAACTAGGGTTTTCAAAAATATTAATATTCTGAAAAGTATTGATACCCAAAGGCTGTATCTGGTTACATGGCATGGTATCGATACTAACAAGTGATGTTGGCATATTTTTGCTGTCATTAACATAAATTTGGTTATTTATTTTGCATTTATTTGCGCTATTACTTAACAAGCATCAGTAATTCTGTTATAAAAAGGCATGTTTCTATGTTAAGATTGAAAATGGTGAGTTTTTTTAGGTTAACAAAAAAATATTTTATGCCAGTTTTTTTAACCCACAGGGTATTGAAAATGGCATTGAGAATCGAATATTTTCCTGGGGATTGAAATGTAATTTAAAATATTGTTATCATGACAACCATAAAAACAAAAGATACAGAATTTGGGCTCCTTGCAACACTAGATTTTGTGTTTTACGGAATAAAGAGCAAATGATGTGTCTCTGCAAGTCTTTAATGTCATTAGATCCATTTAATGTTGGTATCAGTATATATGGAAATATTAACATTATGCAAAAAAATTGCGGATAAAAGTATAGTACACTTTTCTTTTGTTCCCCAGAAATGTGGGCAAGAAATGGCAATAGATAAGATGTTCTCACCAGAACTCAAAGCCGAAAGATTATTGTGCAAAACACCTTTAATTTAGACAGCATGGATGTGTAAATATATGTGCTAATTTATTAGAAAGGGATTCGGGAAAATCTATTTGCATTTATTTAGGTATATTTAATCATTTTTCAGTTGAAACAGTGCAGATTGACCCAGAGGGTCTAGTACCTATCTGCTTCGGCCACCCCATGATGCACATTGGTCGCTGCATTGCCACCCCTACAAAATGTTCCCGTCTATTCCACTAGCATTATCACCACCTGCAATAACGCATGTGGTTTTATCATATTTTTCACCCTTAGAATCTGACTTATAATTTTTTTTTTTTGCCAAGTAGCGTACAACGATTTTGCTTTAGAGCTACACACACACACACACACACAATGGTTTAAATATGTGTTAAAATATGAAATTTAGAAATACAATAAATAGTTAGAGAATAGACATAGTGCAAGTTCTTGCATAGAAATACTAATATGATCAATATATCTTTTTGTTTAAATATTACAAAAATAAATAAAATACACTGTACATACTGGCATTTATATATTATAGCTCATGGCTGAGTAAGCAATGTAATTAAACTCTAATCTCTTTGTTTTCTACACAATTTTGGCCAGTAAGGGTGATTCTGATCTCATAAATGCTGTGTTCACTTGATAAAATAAATACAAAAAAATAAATGTTTTGCAACATTTACTGGTAACTTTTTTAGTTATAGAAGGGATACAATGCATTATTTCAACGTCGAGTGAGTAATATTCCTAACCTATTAATCATAATGGTTACTGTTCTATTTTTACTCTAAACCAGTTGGAGTGATTCCTCTGGCAGACAATACACGATCTTGGAAACACACGAAAGGGAAAGGAAACGCCGACTTCTCCATTCCAAAATCCCCTCTGCCTCATCTTTTAGCACTAACGGCTCTTTTTGATCGATGTGAAGCTTTGAGACCTTCTCTCCTTTGCGTCAGGACTGCTTTTGGTCGCTTTTCTGCTGCCCTTTGCGCAGTACCTGCTGTTGGCCCTGAGAAAACAACCGCCGTTCGAGATTTGTGGCGCCTCAGATTTATTGAGCCCGAGTGCACAAAGTTGATAGTTAGCCACCTAGCTAACTGTTAGCTTGCAGCCCTTTCTTGGTTCTAGCTTCGGGGGCGTCGTTTTTGGGCTACAGTCGGTTCCAGGCAGCTAGCAGCTACACCTGAATGCCCCTTTTGGTGAGGTTTAGAGCTGTTGTTTGTAGCTAAAGTGCTCCATACTGGCTGCTCGCTGCTAAACCAGCGTAAAAAGCCCGGAAGGAAGCCAAAGTGAAGGCCGGAGTCCAGCACCACCAAGAGCCGCCTCCGTCAGAGTGTTTGTACCGCCGCGCAGTGAGAGTTGACAGGTGAGTGGGAAACGGCTTTTATTGGCTTGTATACAGATGAATGGTTAAATATTGATGTTTTCTAGCATTTCAAGTATTTTTTCATGTTATTTGTGACTGTCGAAGGACTGGAGAATCCGCGGAATCACGCCATCTTTTCATTTGGAGTTAGCCATGGCTGCTACTTTCGCCCAGTTAACTTTAGAGTGTTTTTTTTGTTTTGTTTTTTTAACGGCCCGGTTATGTTTCCGTTTATAAACGGTTCGGTTCCATCCAGGCCGAACCGAACTCTAGTGGAGTCTTATTAGGTGGCCCTGACCACAGGCCGGTGCCAGCCATGGCCTTTAGCCCTGGAGCTGCAGTCTTCCTCGGCTGAATGAGTCTGCATTGCGTCTGTGGATGAAGTTGCTGTCTTCACTTAGAAAGTTGATCCAAACAAACATGGCTGTTATGTTGGAAAAGCTCAACATATAAAGAAGTAATTAACACTTTTCTACTTATTGACTGATGCTTTATATTTATGTCTTCTAGTTACTTTTCTTAAAAACAAATTTCACCCAATATACCCAATTATATAGAGGAACTAGAACTTCAAGACTTGCAGTAAAATGTCTGTAAATACAACACAATGAATTTCAACCAATCAAATAGTTTTGAGAAAGCTTAGAATTGTAGTTTACATTTATGTATACTTATCTAGCTGTTGTATGAAAAGATATTTAAGGGTTTTAAAACATTAAAAGTATATTCGTTAGCTTTAATTATTTGTCGGGGCACAGTTTAGAAAAAGTTAAGTAGAAAAAAATATTCTTGTATGTGTTTATATATCTATTTATGTGTCTTTATCATATCTTTTTTTTATTCTTCCTGATACTGTTATTGATTCAGAGCAAGAAGATCAAGTTAACCACCTTCTTGGATTCTAGAGAAGTGAAACTCAGGTTGAACTGGACCAGATGTTTTTAAAAAAGGCTCTGATTAAAATGTCAAACATGATGGCAAAATTACTATTTTCAACTTATACAAGCAAAATAATAATTCCATGGAGTTTTGTTGTGTTGATTTTTGTGAATCCTGTGTTGTGTGTGTTGCTATTTGTTGATCGTTTCAAGGAATTTACAAAGGAATAGTTGTTGCCGCCAAAGTAAAAGCCCCAGCCAGATAAATAAAAGTAACATAGTAGTTAGCATTCCTTAGTTACCTTTCTGTTACAGCGAGATTCTCTTGAAATGTTAACTTTAAATGTCATAGTTAAATTTATTTAAAAATTTGCTGTTAAAATGTTCAACATGTTTTTATGTAAAACAGAGAAGCAACAATTATTCCTCTCGTTATGTTGTGTATAATTGTCATTTTATAACATTTTGTTGTTTTTATGAGGGGGAGAAGATGTTTGTTAGAAAATATTTTTTTAACCATAGCTTGTTAACCTTTCATTATCCTTCATATGTGTTTGAGTATTCGATCGATGCCTAGAGGCAATGCTTTAAAATAACTTTTTAAATCCTCACTTAGTGTAGGATATTACTGTCATTCATTTGTTTTCAAAAGGTAAACATGTGGAAACAGCTTGTCTTTGTTCAGGGCAAAACCAGCAATGAAATGGCTCTTTATTCGACTCTAAAGATTTTAGCTTGTTTTATCAATTTATACAAAATAAGAGTTTCCATTAATATATAAACATGTGGCTGACATCTTTTACATATCCAGCCTGCTTTTTGTTCCCAATTTACTCAGTTAGGGAAAGGTTCTCCAGAGATCATGACCCTGTGCTGTACTTGCCAAACATTTCTAAGTAATGTTTGTTAGAAAATAAACATTACTGAATTAATACAAAAATGCCATTATTTATATAGCATTATTCTACACAGCCAGGTAAACAAAATGCCTCACTGGTAAAATAAAAAGTAGTCATGTGAATAATTTTGCATTGATGTTTATAGAATTATAAACATCAATGCACATGATGGTCAGCAGACTGTCAAACAGTCACATCAGCTTTATAATAAAAAAAGTTTCAGTCAAATCAAGTATTCAGTGGAATTCAACTCTGGATAGTTTGAGATGTTTTTCTTTATTGTTTACTTGAGAGGTTTTGGCCTATGTTTGTGTCTGTCTCCACCTTTCAATCTTTGTCAACTGTATTGTTGCTTATTAGGAGCAGAGGGTGAAGTACCTGGTCTATTTTGGACACTTTTATTAGGAGCAGGAGTATTACTTCTGGTGTTGCTCAGCGCTGCTCCTCTGGGAAATGCTGATTATACATCTAATTTTGTTTTAAGTTGTATCTAAACTTACCTGAAATTCCTCACAATCCATTGAAAAATAGAAAGTCTGTAGATAGATTTCATATTTCAGAAATTTGTTACAGCAATCTGGATAATCTACATAAATGTTTCATCTAGGGCTGAAAGAATTAATTGGATTATTGAAATATGGTCAACTAATTTGGTGATGGATCAATTGTTAACTAGAATATAGAGACTCTTTTAGCTGACAGAGCAAACCACTCGGACCAGTAATTGTACCAAAATTTTATATATATATATATATATATATATATATATATATATATATATATATATATCACATTTTGCATTTAAGATTAAAAAAAATGACTTTCATCTGTCAATATGCTTTATCCAGAACTACTTTAGTACAGTAACCGGTCCCAATAAGCTTCTGCACATTTGTAAAGGAGTATAAGGATAGCTCTCTTACAGCATGTTGTTAATGTCCCATCAAAAACTGAAAGTGCTTTAATATATATGTCTATAATCAAATAGGCTACTCTTTCAGTGGTACCAGTGCTGCATAACAGTGGTGCATTTATGCACGCCAATATGAAAATGCAACATGTATGACATTGCTTTACTTAAAACAAGAGAAGCAGAGCGCTGTACTAAAGGTAAATTGTGTACATACAGCTGGCCAGGCTCCCAAAAACCCGGTTACTGCTTACGTTTGCATGTAAATAAGTTGGGAAACATTGCCTTGTTTTCTAGATGGTGTGATTTATGCGTTTTCTTGCGGTTTCAGTGTCGCAGTTTGGTTGCAGTCAATGCTTAGGCGAAAAAAAGCTGTTCTGAAGATCTACAGGCTTGGTTGCACTACAGTGAAATCTGCAGCTGTATCAAATGTTAGTCCTGTTTTAGAATTGACCTCCTAAAGATGGTAGCTACTATCAGGAAACAAACCTCCCATCTGGATTAGACGGATGAATAGGCTGTTTTCGATTCTGGGGAATTGTTCAAACTTTTAGATAACAAAAAGAATGATAAAACAATTCAGTACATTTTAAGCTTAAAAAGGAGTGGACAGAAAAGGGCTTGGACTAAACTGAAATTGACGTTTTTTAAAAGGATTTCATTTTTGACCTCAAGTTAGTTCTTATCATATTACTAAAATGTTATATGGAGCAGGTATACAATACTAAGTGCTCTTAATCCAAAAGCAGAATTTTCATCTAACAGTTGAAAAGTTTCTTTTTAGTTTTTTTTTTTTTTTATAGATAAAATGGATTTATAGTCAACAAGTTGTTGGTCTACTCCCAACAAAAGGGATAAAAGGTCTAAAAAACTTTTATATTTATTATTTTTAAGTCAGGGTAACAAATATGCTCCAAAGCTATTCTACTGTAATTCACTTTAATTGACTTTACTTATGTGTGATGGAATATATGGCTATCTTAAGCCGGGCTTACGCTGTGTGATTTAAAAAAAATTTTTTTTTTGCCCTTTTGGGGCCGATTTTCCAGTAGTGCGAGAATTTTTCAGTCGGTCCAACTTTCAGCCCGATTTTGTGTGGTGTAGTGCACAGGGGGTAACGTGGGGCGATCAGCCTCTCACAACCAACTCCCAATCAGGACCCGTGAGGTTGGGAGAAAATCAAACATGTTTGATGCCCAACCGCCGTGGGCAAATCTCCCAGTGGGCATGCGCAAACAAGGATTCTTCTTCTTCCTCTCAGATGAAAACACAGAAGCATGGCAGGGGTGCAATGAGTGAAATAGAGTTCTTTCTGTAAAATTGACAGACTGTAGTAGCCTCGTCTGCTCAGCCATGTCTTTGTCCAAATACGTTGGCGCCTTTTCTTCTTATGTCTTTCAGCACAAAATTGCACAAATTGCCACGGCAACGCGTTTCTCTCTAGTGAGCTTCATATTCCTCTTCTACTGGCATATTCCTCTTCTACTGGTTTGGCTTCCGGATAGACGAGTCAGAGTAGCGCCATCTCACTGTGGAGCTGGGTCCCACGTGGTTTTTAGACGTACAGTGTGATCAGGTAGATCGCATCAAAGCGTCGGTCTGCACAGACATTGTGATCTGTGAACTCGAACTGTACGACGAAACTGCAGGGTTTTGTCGTACAGTGTGAGCTGTAGCTGCTTGCAACGATTAAAAAAAAATCTCAGTGTATGCCCGGCTTTAGACATTATGGGTGAAAAGAAAAGCCCCTCTAGTTGCCTGCCTCAACTTCAATCTCTCCAGAAAAAAAAAACACAAGAACAAAACTCCTCTTAATGTCCTTCTGTCTCGCATGCAGCTTCTGGACGATACGGACTAACAAAGTTCCCCTGCTGGAGAATCTGACAGGTTTCATTCTTGATTAGATTCAGGCTAGAAGCCATGAAAGCTGCATTCCAAGCCTCATTGGTTTGCTTGTGAAAATACAGATTGAAAACCTACTTGGTGGACCACTTGTGTATGTGTTTTTTTTGTTTTTTTTCAGCTGCGGTCTTATTTTGAAGAACCATTGGCTCATAAATTACTGCTTATAATTACACAGAGGAAAAACAAAGGTGTGGAAAAAGGCGAGAGGGAGGAGGATGTTTTGGTTCATGCCATGTCTAGACAATAGGACTGAGTCACTGCCGCTCTGTTGCTGTGTTTTAACCAAGGTCAGGGTTTCTGTTGTATTATTATTTTAAAGCTGTTACACAGTCTATGCTGGGGATCAGTCTCCCGTTATGTGGACCACTGTCAGTTTTCACCTTTCTTCACAGTCAGCAGTCTAAAAATGTACTCCAGTTTCCTTTTTTCGGTCATAAAATCTTTTGTTTGAGAATATCATTATCGGATAATTCAGTTTCAAGATCAGGAGTTTTTACCAGATTATTGTGTTATAAAGCACTACCATGGTAGTCCTGACTTATTTCTTCAGTATGGAAATTTCAATTGTAGGAAGAAGAAATGGTGGCCTCCTTTTAAACCGCAGATGATGGAGGCTTTTTAAAGGGGAACCCCTTTTTCTGACGTTTCCTTAGGGCTGGGTACCAAACTTCGGTTCTTTTATGGTACCGACCGAAATGTTTCGGTTCTACATAGTATCAAAACATGCCTCGTCTTTCGGTACCAAG